AAAAAAAAAGAGAGAAAAAAAAGCAAACGAAAACTTTCGTTTTCTTGCTCATCTTCCCGTTCGGACGCGTAACAACACGTTTGCTCGCTAACCGGAAAACATTGTCCCACGATGTGGACTGTCCGACAGTCTATAGTCTACGTCGTCGAGACACGTGACACCGTTCGGTCGCTACAGTGCTCCAGTTAATTTCTAATGAGGGACTTTCTTCGTTTCGAGCGCTGTAGAATCGTTGAGCAACCATTTTTTGACTAGGTTAAGTCCCTATGGGGCCCTACTGGTGAGATAGCTCGATACCGATGCATGAATTTTCAAATTTTTTTTTTTTTAGTGGAAATAATTGTATCTTGATCACAAACCAACTTGTCCGTTTTCATTTGAAAAATAAGATCAGTATAAGTTGTTATACAAAGAAAATAATATTATACAATTAGTATAAGTTAAGTTATATAAGAGGTTTTTAAAAAAAATGCTTGGGGGAGGGGGTTACATTATGAAATTAAAGAAAACAAATATGTACACTTTTAGGTGTCACGTTCTGTCACTTTCAGTTTTAAATAGATTTCAATAAAGACCCATCGCCTGCACGATACTTGGTTTGTAACATTGCAATTGTCATTCTGCGAGAAAAAATATATAGTATAATATAAAAATATTTTACGTTTTATATTTCTATATTTTATACTTTATGTTCTTATATTTTTATCTTTTCGCTACTTATTACTTACATTGATTATTAATTACATTTTTGTTGGAAGCAAACCAACGCAAAGGGTTCTCGTTAATTTCGGCCGCGAAAAGGGGGTTTTCCAGACCGCTCGTGCGTCTCGTCGCGAAAAAGAGACGATTGATTGTAATCGAGGGATACCGATCGCGTATCTCGAAACGATATCGTCGAGAGCTCGACTACAAGGTTAGAAAGTGCTCGACATCGCATGTTACGAATCGTGTTACGAAGGAAAGTTCCGCTTTCCCGGTTTCTCGATATACTCTGTTTCCCAATTTCGTGGTTGCTCTCGACAAGTTTAATCGACGGAGCCGATACACAGCGATCAAGCCGCCGATTCCGTTAATGCGCCGGAGAAAATCGTGCGTAAAAAAAAAAAAAAAAAAAAAAAAAAAAAGAAAGAAATGCTTGTAAATTTCACCTCCGTGATGAACGTAAGATGAATTACGAGCGTAGCAAACGTTGAGAACAGAGGCAGGATTCACAGCCTCGGTACTTTCCAATTACGATGAATTCTTCGAAAACAAAAACTCTCGGCTCTCGAAAAACAAAAACCGCGAAACAATACGTCGCACAAAATTGTACGATTTTATCTTCAAATCCGAGCAATGGTCTCTGACGACTTCGAATTTCAAATTTGACTCTCTTTTGTTATGCGACATTGATCTGTCTATCGTTACACGAACGATGATTTCATTTTTGCTTGGAATAGGGTAAAAGTCAGGGAATGATGGCCTGATTTTTTTTTTCTTTTTTCAAAAGGATTATTACATCTTAAATATGACCGACATTTAACCTCTTGCGCTGGAATAACGTGCCACGCACGTCGGGAATATTTGGCTCAAAATTGCAATATTCTCTCAGTTTTAAGTATATTTAAGTATAATCCAGGCAAAACAAATAATAAATTTATTACTTTTGAGTAATTTCTATCCAGTGATATACCGATGAATTTAAAAAGAAAACGAATTATTGCATACGGTGTTGGTCACTCGTTATGGTCCGCAATTAAACATATATACATACACAGGGTGTTCGCGTTATTAGTAAACAAGAGGAAAAAATGGCGGAGGGTAAAGTTATATATTTGGTACTTTTACTATAACCAACACACCAGTGTATGACAGGTAACGACTTTTTGCAATATTTGTCACGAAACTAAAGTGATTTTTGTATAGAATACTATTTTTTTTTTTTTTTTTTATTTGTCATATGAAAGGAACTGTCAAGACGTGATAAATGATGTCCTTTATAGTTGAGGTTAGGAATGAGAAGAGTTTTTACCTTCGTGACGAATACAATGCAAACAAAACGAAAACTTTTGACCTAGAAATTTAATAACGAGATCAATTTTGCGGCAGGTTCGTTGTATTTTCATAAAATTACAAATTCGCCATTTTGGTAATTGCAGTATTGAAGCATGTAAAGTACCGTGAAAAATACTGGAAGAAACTTTTGGTCCAAAAAAACTGGCCAATCTTCACCCGTGCTCGAACGAGGGAGCAGCGGGTTTTAAATGGTAACCGCAATGACGCAACGAGGCGGGCGGAAAGAAGCAACGACTCGAGCCGGTAGCCAGATGCGTCGAGGAAAAGCAAGCTACAGGCACAGGGGGGTAACGCATGTACTTGCTAACGACTACTTTCGACTCGAGCGAGCTTCGTTCACGCACGCGTAAACACGCGTGTGCGCAAGGAATCTCGCCGAGCTCGTTAACACGCTCGTGTGCTCGGTAATTGCGCCACGTTACGTGACGTGAAAAATCAGAATTCCCACACGGAGGGCTGGTAAAACGCCGACGAGTGACTCGTGAACCTGCATTATCGACTGATCGTCCATAGGAGAGGGGAGAGAAAACACGGACACAGTCGAGGGGCGCGGAGAGATTGCCAGATCGATCGAACGGTTTAATTGTCGACGACGCTTATCGTTCGAGACGGATCTACGACACAGAATCTTTCGGTCCATTCACCTCTCTCTTGACCCGATTTCCGTCCGAGTATTGTGTGCATAGCTGGCTTCGTAGTGTTCGCGACGTTCGTATATTCTCGATTGTCCGGCTTGATCGCCATGGATTTCAGCAAGTTAAGTAACTTTCGCTCGAAAGAAGGTATACGCGATATCCAAACTATTTCATTCGTTTCCCTGACCTTGTTTAATGTAGATGTGAAGGTCACTGAATGGCACATCGTTGATGTAATAGGGTATATCTTCGTACTACTATCGTACTACTTCTATTTCATGTACTATTCCGTCTTCAATTTAATTTACTATTCTGTTTCACGTACTATTTCTTTCGTTCCTGGTTTTGTCTAATGAAAGTGTGAATGGTACACACATCATTAAATTCATCTTCATACCCTATTATGCTACTTCCATTCCATATACTATTCCTTCTTCAATTTAATTTACTATTCTCTGTTTCATATACTATTTTATTGTATTATTTTTGTTTCATATACTATTTCTGTTTCATGTACTATTTTTTTTATACTATTTCTATTTCATGTACTATTTCTTTCTGAAAACTGTAAAAAATGGTAAACATGTTTATTTGCATTTGTTAACATAAACTTAAATTTTTTTGTCACATCAGTGTCACTTCAAGGTCATGTTCTTTACATATCTGAACGTATTTTTTTACCATCAATGACCTTGAAGATTCCGGAAAAGAAGAGCTTGGAAAAAAAATATTTTTACCAGTTACTGGCCTTCTGACACTATTTACGTTAGAAATATAAAAAATTTTTCATGTCATCACAATTCGAAAAGATATTTTCAGGTGGTCTCGGTTTCACCTTTCGTAATCGAAGGATTAACGAGTTGAAGTCGCGTGGATCGTATCGCGTGATACTTTTGTCGAAATATCACGATTCGATATCGTGCGACAATCGATCGAGACAATCCCGCGCTTCCGTGTGCCGCGCGTCGTGCAAATCATCTCGTCTTTCCTCTCTCTCCGTGCCAGTTCCCACGAATATAGAGCGATTTTTAACTCGTCGGATTTGTAATACGATTCCCTTCCTCTTCCATTCCGATCAAGATTACCGCGCGCGGCAATGGAACGAGGGTCTCAGAGTCGACCGAGTCAACGATCGAATCGTCCGAAACTTGGCAAACGAAGCGTCGTCCATCCAAATCGAGCTTGCTGGTTCCGTTTTTTCCGATCGTGGTTAACCTCTTGCGCTAGTAACTGGTTCGCGGACCATAACGAGTGACCAAACAATAATTCGTCTTCTCCTTGAATTCATCGGTATATCACTGGACAAAAATTACTAAGAAGTAATCAATTTATTATTCGTTTTGCCTGGGTTGTATTTCAATATACTTAAAACTGAGAAAATATTGCGATTTTGGGCCAAATATTCCCGACGTGCGTGGCACGTCATTTCAACGCAAGTTCACCGGGGTTCTCATCTTAATTTCGTTCGTTTTGAAATATGACACCCGGCAAGAGTTTCGATCTTGTTCAAGGCGCGATTCTATTCTCCTTTTTTGCGGTTGCTTGACCTAGCAGTTGTTCTAACTCCGTGGACAAATACGTAAATTAACGGCTGGTAACAGTGATGAGACGAACGGCCATCTTGAAGCCAGAAACGCGAGCCAACCAATCAGATGTGAGAGAATTTTCGCAATACTTTGTAAAAACATCGACTCTCTCATTTTGGTATTTCTTCAGTTTGTACCGATTTGATAAATGTCCTCGAGAATGAAGAAAATTAATGGAATATAATAATTCTAGTAAACAAACACATAAAGTTAGACATTTCAAAAATATCACAGCAACAGTTAGATAACCTAAGTTATATAACTCTTCATTGTCTTATGTTCAATGGAACAACTACGTATATTAAACGTATTGATTTTAACTTTACTACTTTTCTTTATTATTTACAGCATTGCCTCCCATTTGCATCATAAATTTAAATTTAAGCATAACTCGATTTTGTTTAAAATGAAAACGTTCATCAACGTGTGATTTAAATTAGTTCGTGAAATGGACTATGAAATAAACAATTTGTTAAATCTGTTTAAAAAGTTAATGAAACAGTAATTGAACGAACACGAAATATATCACATTGAAAAGAGATATATTTCATAAATATTTATACATCGCAAGTTTCATTGTGTTATCTTTCACGAGCCGAGAGTTATTCAAAAATTCTGTGTTTCCGACGGAAGTTGACACAATCCTGTTACGTGCTCGTCCACATTCGATTACAATTACAAAAATGTCAGAAAGGGGAAGCAAAGATGAAGATTCGATGCTTACCCGGCGGGATAGGCGACCAACTCGCTGGTCGCGTCGCAGTCCAGGGCTGCGTTGCTCGACACCGTCACGCCGAGAACGCGTTCCAGTTTGATCTGAAAAAAAAAAAACGAAACGCTGACGTTATCCTTTGACATTTCTGTGACAGTTCTTTCAATTTCCAGAAACAAGATAGTCGTAGGTTTTCTTTCTTCGACGTCGTTCGCGAATGTATCCGTCATTACTGAAAAGATACACGCATTCGTCGAATATCGAACGTTCATTGATTGACAATTTAACAATACCCAACTGTATCAAACTCGTATTTAATCTTTTAACTGAGAAGGTAACATGTACAAGCCGAGACAAATGAACTATGTACAAATTGAAGACGAACCTTTAACCTCTTGCGCTGGAATGACGTGTCACGCACGTCGAGAATTTTTTGTCCCAAAGTTGCAACATTTCCTCAGTTTCAAGTATATTTAAGTATAACCCAGGCAAAACAAATAATAAATTCATTACTTCTCAATCATTTCTATCCAGCGATATCATACCGACGAGTTCAAAAGAAAAAGAAAGGGACGAATTGTTGTATACGGTTTTGGTCACTCGTTATGGTCCGCAATCAGTTGCCAGCGCAAGTGGTTAAAGCGCCCGTCAGTATCTCCATCAATTGTTAACTGAGTTAGATTTAGGTTAGGTTACTTTACCAAATTGGGTTAGGTTTAGGTTATCTCACTCGATAAACGCTAAAGAAATTTTGGAAACATGGGAGGAAATTATAGAATGAGGTATTTTCATAGCATTTGCAGGTATATTTCGTGTTTTACCACGAACAAGTATAAAAAAAACAGAACTTACGGGGTGACCTAATAATTACTTCGTAGTTTTATTTGTCTATCGGTAAAATAAAAATTACATTGTAATCATTCGAATAATACGAGCAGAAATAACAAATATGCAGTTTCAATCACCATCTCGTGCACCCAAGTATGTCACGAGCAAATAGCTCTGGTCTATGTACGCTTTTTAGTTTGCGAACAGATGTTTTTGATGCGTCGCTTTTACCGACCGAAACGAGTTTGCCAACAGCGGACAGTGTAAACGCGGCATTAGCTCTACTAAACCTGATACAGGTTGGGTCAAAAATCACTTCTTACTATTCTACTATAAATCTATAATTTTCTTTATTACATATTTCTCTTATCTTTTGAAAGAAATAATTTTCAGAACATAACGAAAGACTCAAATTTAATTTAAAATCAATAAAAACTAGTTTTTCCTTACATTACAATGTTTTATTAAAAAAAAGGAATAGGTGGGAGGAAAAACTTTTGACCCACCCTATATTATTCAGCGCGAGAAATCTTGCCGAGAAGTCGATCGATTCGATGAAAACAACGGACCTTGCAATCCATGTTTCGACGAGCAAAAAGTGAATTAATTCTACGAGGCTCTCGTGGAATTAATTCGTCTGGCTGAAGACGACGAGTCTCGAAAAAAGGGGAACGAGACGCGAAACGAAGCGAAGCGATTCGGAGGAGCTTCGGAGAAAGTACGGGCAATTTCACGCGGGGTGAAACTTTTCATCTACGAGCGGGCAGCTGATCGATCACTGCCAACAAACCGCGACAGATAGAAAGGAAAGACGGCGGCCGTGCAATTAAACGCTAAGGCGAGAATCATGTCATGTCTAGTGGATGAAAACTTGGTCGCGTGTTCTTCGTCATTATTGTTGCAAATCCGACGATATTAATCCGATTACGATTACCAAAGTGGTCAAAATGATCAATTCGTATAATTTTCCATTGGAACCTCATATACTCGCAACAGTATATTTTCAGAGGTTTCAATGATTTTTATACTAAAGTACTGAGTAAAGTTGAGTAAAAATTTCGTATTTTCGCGGGTAAATATCGTTAACAGAAAATATTTGAAAGGATCTTTACTCAATGTATGTGTAATATCTCGCTAAATGTGCTCTTCTAAGAGGTTATGTTTTCCTGTCTATTTAAAACTGCCAATTGTTTGTTATATCATATTCAGTAATTTTTATTTGGCTGTTAATATGGAACGAAACAAACACTATTTTTGGTGTTTAATACTTTTTTATTTTCGAAAAAGGAAAAATGCAACACAGATTAAAAAAAGAATGTGCTGTACATGGAGAAGATGGCATAAGCGAACATACGTGTCAAAATTGGTTTGTGAAATTTCGGACTTAAGGTAGATTAAATTAAGACATTAATTGAAAATAACGCACGTTGTTCTTTGGAGGCTTGCAAAATGCACCTTGAGGAGTTTCTTTTGCTCAGAGAACTGGTTTAACAAAATTCCTTCTTTAATTCTAACCTAAAATGGCGGAATTGAAAATTTCGTTTTTTAATTCTAACCTAAAAATACGAAATTAGTCCTCACTCAACCCAATATATAGATAAAAGTATTGCAGCATTTTTTATATATTTTTATAAATTTTTTTCACCCGCTGCAACAAATTTTATATTTATATCTTTATTTTGATTTAAATTTTATATTTTAGTTGTCGGTAATTCTAGCGCCAACGGTCTTCGACAGGCACCTCGAGAGCCGCGCGATAACATCTCCGTCGAATGCAGAGAGAATCCGATTTTCTCACGAGTCGCGATCCACAAGTCACGACTTTCTCTTACGACGTATTGGATCTACCAGATTACTTAACACTTGCAATTTCCAGAAACGATAAAGAACAATAAGGTCTCTGTCTGTAGCCTAAGGAAAGAGAGGCCTTGAACGAAAAGTCGACGAGCAAGGGCAAGACAAATTAAGTTTAGGTTGGGTTCATAGGAAATAAAGTAGCGAGTCGATGGTAAGGAAGGAATCTACAAACTCGTAGATCAGAAGAAATGTGGTAACTAATTTCGTATTTTTAGGTTAGAAATGTCGATCGATGGTGGAAAACGAACGCACTGATGAATCGACTCGATCCAACGAATGTGGGTTCGCGAACGACCAAAGTATGTATATATGTACATACGACACAACACGCTGATTGCGTGGAACGCGGATTCATGGAAATCGTAACACGCCGGATGTGGGCACAGGAGCGCGCGTGCTTGCTACGGATATCTGCCTATGTACATCCATGGTCGAAAGGTTTCGCAACGAGTAGCTGTAAAACGCCCCGATACGTACTATCGTATGTAAATCGTACGCTGCGCGACAGAGACCGGCTGTGCACACGGATGCCATAAGCCGTAAACCATGAAATAACGATAGGATTGTACAAGGACGTAGTCGGTGCGTCGGACGATCGCTATAAATCTCAACTTTTCGAGGCCTTTTTTTCAATTGGAGTAAGTCCGGTTCCGAAATGACTCGATCTCATTATATGTATGTTATTATTATACATATATATGTATATAAGTTTCATTATGTAGATATTATACATACATACACACACATATATATATATAAAATAAAAAATATATAATACATTAAATATATCATATATCAATTTTCAGTTTTTTTTAAATAATGGTATACTTTATCTTAATCACAAGCCATATTAACCTTCTTATTCGTTCTCATTTGAAAAATAAGACAGAGTATGTATAATACATAAAACACAAGTTGTATTTAATAATCTGATGGAAATTTTCTGTTCATACTTTAAATTAGAATTTACTAACATTTAAAAAGCTTTTCGAGATACAGTGTGTCAATATAATGTTGTAGAAGTTATGATTACATTTCCATAACTAGATATTGTCGTACAATTATAAAAAAAATAAACAAGTGAGTTATGTATTATTAGCAGATTGGATCAGATAGCCGCCATCGTTATGAAATTATGTGATAATAGTTAGTAAATATTTCTCTAGAGAATTATACATCAATTGAATATAAGAGAAACTCCAACTATGCCTTTTGCATGAGATGTTATTTCTTCTGTCTTATCTAATCCATGATTATTTTTTAATTCTCTAACTTTATATGTATCTACTTTCACAAATATATATAATTTACATATCGATTATAAAATGTATTAAAGAAAATGGGCCATCACTCCCCGACTTACCGTCAATGTCGTTCATCGCGGAGAAACTTATATTTTCTATCAATTTTCTACCTGCTTTCTGCCTTCGTTCGCTCGGCCACAACACACGACTCGTCATATATAATAATCGCGCTAATAATTGCTTATCGTAACTAGACAACCTAGCGAGAGTTTCGTCAAGCTCGATTTCAGCTAACTTCGTACCGAAACGCGGCAACTTCGCGTAAGAAAACGATCCGAGCGCGAAAGCGACAGATGAGACGCGAAAAGAACGTCTACCGATGCGATGGTTGATCTTGAACGACGCGACACACGCGTTGACTCCGTTCTCTCGATTTTTTTTCTTTACTTTGAATTAACGATCGAACGAAATAAGTGCGCGGAACCGGTTGCTGCGACGCTTTTAGCGATGATCCCTCGGCCGTCCTTGCGTCTGAGCTGTTGACACGTTCACGCGTGCGCATTAACCGACTTTTTGCCCGTTTCCTCTTACGAGCGTCTTTTCATCGCCTTGCCCCTTCTCCTCCACCATCTTCTCCCTTTCTCGGAGACGCGTCTGCCCGCCCCACTAGGGAAGATCCTCGTAACGTCCGAATGAAAGGGAAACTGGCCGCGCAGAGATTCGCGTCGTTAATTTTACCGTAGTGGCGGATGGCCGTGCAAGATTCGCGTGCCAGGAGAGCCGATCCTCACCGAGTGTGGATTTCCTGTTTGGTCAAACGCGTTGCTTCGTTCGTTCGGATGTAGGCTGGCACGAGAGTTCGTTACAAAACGCGTTGCATCGCGAACGCTCCACGCAAGGACGGGGAATAAACAACTCGACTGGCGCGCGCGAATTACCACCGTCCCCCGGTGTGCCAACGATCGTTGTCGTTTCTGGGCAAAGGCTATCGCCCACTCGAACGCCATCGGCATCGGCCACCGGTGCATTATTCACGCGTTCGCGTTTCACGTTCCGTCGTATTTCTCGCGTGCCTGCAGCGAGGTGTATAAATGGAACGAATAACAATGACGAAAAAATTGTCGACGATTCGAATTGTTGCAACTTCGTGAAAAAGAAAATTATACAACGAACCA